GGTTCAGTTTTCGATTTATTAAGAAAAAATTCGTGTTTGGAATTTGAAAAAAAAATACGCGTTAATACGAATGGCGCTATGTAAATCGCGTTACGAAAGTCAGTATCTCGTTGCGAATTTGTATTATCGCATTGCGATAGTAAGTATCGCATTGCGATAGTCAGTATCGCATTGCGATTTTCCCAATTCACGTTGCGATTTACTTATTCGCATTGCGAATTGGGAAAATCGCAACGACACTGTAGACCATCGCAACGCGATTTCCAACTATCGCAACACGAAATGCAACGCGAATTTGCGATAATGGAGATCGCGTTGCGAATTAGCGATCGCATTGCGATTTTGTTGGTCATTTTGGCAAATCCGGAAAAAGTTGGTTAAAATCGTATATTATAAGGCATTTTTGGTCACTGAGGCGATTTTCTCTTTAAAATAATCTAAAAAGGATTGGTTCATGATAAGGTACAATTTGCTGGATCATGAGCAGTTTGATTGGCTTTAGGGGCTTCCTCGCTCATATAGGGTGTTGAAAAAAAAACTCCTTGTATAGGGTTATTACCAAATTATTTTTTAAATTAGAGTGTTATTTATAGTCTCAAGAGAAAGACGCATGAATTACTATGCGACTTTATTTTTTCATAACTTTATAGAGCAAAAAAATGGTTGGTGTAGTGAATCTAGCTTAAAGACGCATGAAAATCTGGGCGTCTTCAACAAGACGCATGAATTACACGACGTCTTCACACTCCACAGTAGAAAATGACATATTCTAGGAAATAATTTGAAGGGTGCATTATTTAGGAAATAAAAATTTTGGGACACATCATCCCAGTAATTTGGCCCTTTACGGGTAATAAAATGCACCTTGAGGTTTGAGGATAGGTGTGAGTAAAACTCGATTCTACTCAAAAAAACATTTTTTTCAACTCGATTTGACTTGAAAAAAACTCCAAATTAACTTTGAGTTGTAATTTCATAAACTCGACTAGACTTGAAAAAGTTAAGTTGAAATTGAGTTATAAAATAGAACCCAAATAGTAACTTGAATAACTTGAAAATTTTAGTAATTAGTGGGTTGATTTTCAATTTTGAGTCAAGTCCATCGACTCTGTATGATATATATATATCACATATGAACAAAAAGATATATGTATATCACATATGAACAAAAAGATATATGTATTGTATATAGTTATAAAAAAATCATTTAAATCAGAATCAAATAATATCATAAGATTATAAATATTTACAATTAAATTTAAATAGAAACTCAAAATTCCGACTCGTTTCGATTTGAGTACAAAAGTTTTAAATAAAGTTTGAGTTATAAATAGGACTTGTCAACTCGAATAACCCTACTATTTTTTACTTGACTCGATCGAATGCTTAGTTGCTTACCCTTATTTGGGGAGCTACTAAGAGTTGATCAGGCAGCGTTGAGCATCAATTTAAGCACCGATATGTTTGGTTGTAGATTAACAAGCTGGTTCACTATGGAAATAACATCTCCTTCAATGGTAACATTGTTCCTTCTGTTTTCGATTTCAAAGTGAATTCCTTTAATGAAAGCTGTAGCCTTGGAGGATTCAGTCAGTTTGCGAGCGTCCCTTCCACACACAACTCCAAAGATAGGTATAGAACGTTTTTCCGGTTACACTTTTAGGTGTTTATTATTAAAAAACCGTTAAAAATAATGACATGTTGTGTTCGTATATTTAAAAAAACGTTTTAAATAATATTTTATTTTTAAAAAATAAAAAAAATGATACAGTGGAGGGGAATGTTTGTGACACGAGATAGTGTTCTTTTAATGTTGGTTAATAATTAACTTCCTCCTACTCCAGGCATTTGTAGCCGAAAATCCTAGCAGACCCTTGCCAAAATTGCGGAATACAGCGCCCGAGTCCACAAGGTATGAGGAAAGGACCGCGCCTCCAGGAACCTTGAATGTGAAACAGCTACACCACATCATGCTTTTTACATCAGGGCAAGGCCGATGATCACGATGGTCCCATGGATGTTAACCAGATTGCAGAGAAGTTCAGACTGGATGTCGCAAAGGTCCGAACGATCTTGCAATTCATATCCCTGCCTCCAGAGGACAACACTAACCCCAAAAAAACACTAAACAAAGAACGCCGACTTCCATTTTTCTCTTATTCACAAGTTGGATTTTGTGTTTGAATAAGGGTGCGGTGCTGGTTCATTTTAGAAGAAATTTTGAAGTTTATCAGTTGACATTAGTTTATATTCCTCTGCATGTAGAGGAACAGTTTAGAATGTTTTTGATGCTCTCTCTCTGATGGATACACTCTATTATGAATTTATGAAAAATACAACAGAAAGATGGCAGTTTTACAACGATGCTCATCTGATTCTCACAAAGCCTTGAAATTGGATAATAACACTTTAAATGATAGCTTCAAGAATCATTTTGGTTCTGCTATCGATCTAGCTCGATATGAACAAGTTCGCGTTGATTCAACATTCAAAGCTTTTCATAGATCATGCAACTATCTAGGAAAAAGAAATAGCATTTCCTTGTGTTTCAGGGGCATAAGAAGTTGCTCTGCATCTTTATCTGACAACTGATTTCTATAAACAATATCAAGTTGCTGTAAGAAATGACAATTGAATGTACTATGATAAACCCTTCCCCCCATTTTCTTACGAGGGCCTCTACAAAATCCAGGGAAAATGAATGAATGATGTAATAGATGAGAAGGAAAACAAAAATGAAAATCCGGGTCAGCCTCAAGTCAAAATGGACTCTAACCAATCTGATGTAAACTCGTAAGCCACAAATGTTACAGCACCGGCCGGCGCAGCTTTGATTGTTGATGGAACAATCCCCTTATATAGACCATGCCAACCCTCTGACTTCAGAATCCGATGTAAGGCATCAAACATGTTCCCGTAAGCACGATGTTCTACTCGGGCACCGTACTTGGGGTGCCGCTGCAATCCTTCAATCTGCAACCAGACTAACACTACAGTTACATGATTCATCACACTATTATTTAAAAAGATACAAGGAAAGAGATCTAACACCACAGCACAAGATCTAACAGAAACTAAAAAATTTATTGAATATTCAGAGACCGAGTGATGGTGCAATGTGAGTTTCAAGAAGCTCCGAGATGTACCTGGAACCTTTTCTTGACTACATCAAGCGGATGACAGACGAGTTTCGCACAAGTACTAGATGCTAGTCCACAAATGAGAAGTTGGAAACTTGAAAGGCTGTCATCCGTAGTCGACCTTGTATTTGACGATCTTAACCGGTTCCAAGCCTAAGATGATGACATAAACACCAAAACCATATGTCAGAAGAAAATATATATTCAATATTTTGAACCACAACTAAGCACGTCTCAAGAGCAAATCAAATTTTCAAATATATTCAAGAAATTTCATTTTATTCTGTCTTGAGTAAAATAACAAAAACCTGACCATGATCCAACGCTTAAATGTATCGTAGCTGCCAAATTGCAAGCCAGCATAAGGAATGATCTCAACCAGTGTCGGTGACAACCCAGCATACAATCCACTGAAGCCACGAGTTTCAAGTATATCAAATAGTGCCGATCTCATATTAGGATATACCTACGTGTAATTTGGAAAAGTCGAATAAATGAGCTACATTGAAGAAATTAAAGCCTTTGCAGGTAAGAAGTATGAGGATACAACGGGGGCTTGCATGCATAAGAAGTTTTCGCACATCACACTTTATGAGTTCAAGGATACAATTATAAAATTTTCCAAAGACCTTATGAACAAGTAATTATAGGGATTCAAAAATATATCTCCCACAAAAGAATGAAATGTTATCAAAGCAGAAAATGACATCACAGAATTATACAATTTAATACCTTAGGTTCACCTTGTGAAGCTAATAAAGTCCGTAGAAGATCAAAAGGATAAGATCCAACAGTAGCTGCACAGCCTGCTAATCCTCCACTGACATAAGACAGGTAGGGGCTTATATTAAGGTGATCCGCTGCACCGTCACAAAATCAAGACGTAAGAAACAACATAAAGCTATCATCTGAAACTATAAAAGTTAGATATTAAAATACCACATACAATAGTGGATATCGTATGCTTCTATATTAACTAGCTGATGTCAATACACAGCAAACCCGAAACTTATTACTTTTGATCAGAGCATAAGAAAAGACATTGGGCAATGTAAAGTACCTGAATTGGAAGAACCAGAAGCAAAAGTTTTCACTTTGTGTAACACCGCAAATTGTATAGCAGTATATGGCATAACCATAAGTAAGGCTGGGACATTACCTCGCCAAAAGCCCTGCCATAAACAAGCATAGTGAATTAGAGAACAAAGAAACAAATCTACCAGAATTCAGGAAAATCAGAAAACAGAAAAAGAAAAGGCTAACTAACAATGTGGTTAACTACGGAATTTAATAAGGTCTCTATATAAACCATTCACAAACATAACCAGGTAGGTAAATAAAAGAGGAAATAAACATACAAGTCTACAAGAAAATGGCCTTCATACCGGTAAACCCTCTTCTCTGAATATCTCCTTTGTTGCTTGAAACATTCCAGTATATTTTGATGATCCAGAAAGATCTTTCTGGATCAAAGACCATGATGATGTAGGCTCCAATTGAACCTATCAGCATAGGAATAAACTTCTTAATGCTTGCAACAAAGCATTAATATATCCTGACACATGCCCTAAGCTGAAATGAAAATTCTCATGAATGGTATATGAGATAACATCGAGGTTGCGTGTCATCATCATCATAAAATGAGGATAAAATTATGAAAACATGTTTAAGATAATCCTTTTTTTATTCTACATATTTATGATAATCAAACATGGAAAAAGGAGACAATTTGCTATGGTGAGAAAACAAGAATGAATAGCAAACTTTAATTGATTTTAGCTGTCTTATCTGATACCCAATGTCCTGAATGTTTATATACGCTTACTAAAAGACTCACTTTCATTTGTTCATTAGGCCAGCGTGAAACTAAGAAAGAAAGATGTGCCTAAGGCAGCACACAAGCAAACTGTGCAAGCTAAGAGGAAAAGGAGAGATGCCCACAATTACTACAAAAAGAGAGCCACCCCTACCATCTCTAAGGGGGGCCGTCACTTCGTTAGAAGATATGTCACATATGAAGATTATGCAGTCAGTATTTCAAGGGTGATTTTACACTAAGCATATTCGTCCAATGAGAAATTTCAAAGCCTATATATATATATATATTGAATAGTCTAGGAATGATTACGATGAAGTATTTATTTAGAATCTTTATTAGCCATTGACAACGTACATTTGCTACAGTCGAACTCACACCTGCTTGAACTCGGATAGAGAACAACATTCCCAATTACACTGAGGCAATCAATGGGTTCACCGTTCACCAAACACCCTACGAGACCTAACAACTTGTTCTCTAAGATTTTGCTAGGTAGCAAGGATGGCGAAAACTAGTAAAGCTACAAAGTAAACATATAATATGAATCCGAACCATTAGATTAACGAGTTATTGATCTTTTACCTCTTTCTATCAAAATCCCAGCAAGCAAAGCCTAAACACAGTTTAATTCATAGAAAATCAAAAACCCAGAAAGAATATCATAAATATAACAACATATACAGTAATCCCAATGCTTCATCATATTAAAACAAACAACAACAATGAAAATAATAACAATAAATAAAACCCCTTGTTCACCTGGAATCTTATCTTAATAACATCAAGAGGAGAAGTAACTGTCCGGGAAATGGCACCAGAAACGGAACCTGCAGTGGCATCGAGTAATGCCCTATTTAACTGCCCTGGTTCTTCCATTGCCAGAGCTTTGCCTTCTTTATTAGAAAAGGAAAAAAAAGGAAAACCCTTTCTTTTTAGGCACTCGCTTTCTGGAATTAGTCTTCCGAATTGAAAACCCAATTTTAAGAAGGGAGAAAAGAATTGGAATGAGAGAATGCAGGTGAAGAAGAAGAAGAAGAAGAAACGTAAAGGTAGCTGGAAATTGGGAATGGGCGGAGCGCGTGAAAGGTTACCGTCGTATTAAAACTACTTTTCGAAGGAAAATTAAAGAGAAGAAAACAGATAAAGGAATGAGTTTTCTCTTTTTGCCGCCTTACTGAATTGTGGGAGCGGCTAGTCCATGCGAAAACTGAGAACACATAAGGAACACTGTAAGAATTACAGACACTCAAGCTTGAGAGAATTTTCGGTTATATATATATATTCAAATTAAAAAAAATTTAAAAAAGAACCTTTTTTTAACTTTAAATTAAAAAATGTTAAATTTACTGTAAAACTTTTCTGTTAATCAATACAAATGTTCTGTATTTTTCATTTTACAAGCTTGTATTTATCATTTTTACAACCTCTATACTAGAAGAATCTATTTGTTATGCCAGCTCACCTATGTAGTTATAACCATTTTAACAATTTGACTAATATTTGTTTTATTGGTTAACAAAAAAAGAACTTTATTATTGAAATCTATTGATTAATTATTGTAAACCAATTCTCATCCATTGGTTCAACAAAAACAGTAAATTTATACCTTTATCTAAATCAAATCGATAAATTATATCTTATCGTTTGAAGTAGGATGATAAATGGGTATAATTTCATAGATTTTGTATTGTATTCGTTTTAATTGGGACAGAGATGAGTATAATTTTAGTAAGTAGTAAGCGTGTGTGAATATAAAAAAGTTATATCCGTCATAGGTAATAGGTAGTAGATAGGTGATAGATTTGAGACCTTATCCGCCCGTTCCACATCCGCCCGCAACTAATTATCTACTATATAAATTTTAGATCATTATGAATTTAAATATAATTTGAGTGTTAACCAATAAAACAAATATTAGCCAAGTTGTTAAAATGGTTATAACTGCATAGGTGAGCTGGCATAACAAATAGATTCTTCTAGTATGGAGGTTGTAAAAATGATAAATATAGGCTTGTGAAATGAAAAATACAGAACATTTGTATTGATTAACAGAAAAGTTTTACAGTAAATCTAACATGGTATCAGGCTGGTGGTGAGATAGGTGATACAGACGTATCATCGGCGACGCTGCAAAAGATCTTCACCAACAAACGACTCAGTGTCGTCTTGGATGAACACAACTTTCTCTTATGGAAACAACAAGTGCTTCTGGCGGTTCGTAGTCATCGCCTGGAAAAACTTCTCACTGGTGCTGTCACTCCTCCTCCGGCAACAGTGGTTCTGGGAAATGGTACGGTTGGTGAAAATGAAGAATATGAAATATTTGTTGCACAAGACAGTGCACTTGCTTCATGGCTTATGTACACTATAAGCCCGTCGATCCTTCCCCACTTGGTTGGAGCTGATACGATTACACAGGTATGGGCTACGGTCACTAAGTATTTTTCCAGCAAGTCAACAACGACGATAATGAATCTTCATTATCGTTTGAAAGCAGTTCGTAAAGGTTAAATGAGCATGCGAACGTTCATATCTCAGGTCAAGGAGCTTTGTGATGCTCTTGCCGCGTGTGGTTCTCCGGTGACCGAGTATGAGCAAGTGATGACCATTTTGAACGGTCTTCTATCGAAGTACCGACCGTTTATTGCTGTTATCACTGCTAGCAGAGAACCTTTCACGTTGGATGGTGTTATGTCTGTGTTGCTTGATGCAGAATTACAACAAAAGGGTTTTGAGGAGGCTGATAGCTTGACGATCAGCGCAAATCTTGCGAACCTTCAGGTTTCTGACGTGCCGGTGAATGGGGTTGTTCATTCAACTGGATCATCTCCTAGTTTTTATGCTTATCGCCAGGGTGGTCGAGGTCGTGGTAAGCCTCGGATTCAATGTCAACTTTGTGGGGAAATTGGTCACTTAGTGAACCGTTGCTGGTATAGGTTCGACCAAAATTTTCAAGGGGTCTCTGCGGGGCGCTCTTCTTCGACTGTCAATCCAGCTGCTCATTCTTGTGTTTTTTCCTCATCACCTGCGTGTGGCTGTCAAGGAGTGTGGGATTCCAATGCTACAGTAGTTGCGACTGAATGTGCTCATAAGTCCAATATGGGTAGTTGTGGTGTTGCTCGATCATCTGGGAAATGGATTGTCGATTCAGGTGCCACCCATCATGTGACGTCGGATGTAGATAATGTTGTTGGTCGAGAGGAGTATAACGGACATGGTAAGCTTGTGGTTGGTAATGGTAACGACTTATCTATTTCCAGCATTGGTCATTCTTGTTTATATGGCCGTGATCGTTCTTTAACGTTAAATAATTTACTTCATGTTCCTCATATATCGAAGAACTTAGTATCAGTTTCTAAGCTTGCCAAAGATAACCGCATATTTCTTGAATTTCATGCTCATAGATGTGTAGTTCGGGATGAAGCTACAAGAGCGGTGCTACTTGAAGGATGTGAGAAAGATGGTCTCTATGAGTTTGAATCTATCTTGCTAAGGAATAATGATCATGCCGAGTGTAATGTAGCTCGTGGGGTTGTTGATTTTCACTTATGGCACAACCGATTAGGACATCCTTCTCGGGATACATTACTCAAAGTGTGTAGAGAATGTAATGTTGATACAACTTTGGTTAATGATGAATTTGTTTGCGTTGCTTGTCACTCTGGCAAAAGCCATTCTCTACCTTTTTCTCCATCTGTTAATACTTATACCAAGCCATTTCACTTAATATTTGTGGATCTATGGGGGCCTCCTCACGTTGTGTCCAATGGATATCGATACTATATGTCGTGTGTTGATGCATGTACCAGGTATAATTGGGTTTATCTGTTAAAAGAGAAGTCTCAAGCTTTGTATGCCTTCAAATTGTTCCAACGATTAATTCGTGTACAGTTTAATAAGGAAATAAAGGAAGTTCAGAGTGATTGGGGTGGAGAGTTTCGTCCTTTCACTAAAGCTCTTCAAGAACTCGGGATACGTCATCGACTCACTTGCCCTCACACGTCTCAACAAAATGGAATTGTTGAGTGTAAACATCGTCACATTGTTGAAATGGCTCTTACGCTTCTTGCTCAGGCCTCATTACCACTAAAGTATTGGTCATATGCTATTGTTACGGCAGTTTATTTGATCAACAGATTGCCTACAAAAGTTCTACACGGCTCGACTCCGTTCAGCAAGTTATTTGGTAAAAATCCGAGTTATGAACACCTACGTGTCTTTGGATGTCGTTGTTTCCCATATCTTAGGTCGTTTCAGTCACACAAGCTTGCTTTTCGGTCATAAGCTTGCACTTATGCATGGACGAATATTTATTTCTCGACACGTTAAGTTTGACGAGGGCACTTTTCCTTTTGCAGGACAGGTTATAGAGTCGATTCCTGCTTCCACTACGATGTCCTTGATGCCATACACCAAGATTGTTCAGGTTCCAGGCACTCAACAACTAAATCGTGTTCTTGCTCCAGCTACGTTGCACGACAATCCTGGTTATGGTTCAAGTGGAACTTCGGTATTTTCTCTCCCGGTTGCAAATGCATATGATAACATGGGACAAGCGAATATGATGCCCACAAATTCAGTTGTTCAAACTCACTCGTCTGATGACTTACAAACAATACATGCGACTGAAAATTCAGAAGCTAGTTCTAGTAATTCACTTCAAGGGTCATCAACTTTTGTTCCACCTGAAGCTGCTGCTACGGGTACAGTATATGGACCTCTTCCTTCCATGTCCAATATCCATCCTATGGTTACCAGGAGTAAAGTTGGCACTTTTAAACCGAAAGCTTTCTCTGTAAATTCTATGATCGATGGCGATGAATCAGTGTCAATTCAACAAGCTTTGCTCTCACCCATATGGAAGGAGGCTGTTATGACTGAATACAATGCGCTGGTTCAAAATGGCACTTGGCGATTAGTTTCGTTACCTCATGGTCGGACGGCTATCGGATGTAAATGGTTGTTCTGAATTAAAAATAATGTTGATGGGTCAGTTGCACGACATAAAGCCAGACTTGTAGCAAAAGGCTTTGCTCAAGTTCCTGGTCAGGACTTCCACGACACCTTTAGTCCTGTCATCAAACCGTCCACAGTTAAGGTAGTTTTATCATTAGCCGTGATGCATGGGTGGAAGTTGCGACAAGTCAACATCAACAATGCTTTTCTCAATGGGGAACTCAATGAAGAAGTGTACATGATGCAACCACCGGGATTTGAAAAATCTACAGTCGATGGCTCTCAATTGGTATGCAAGTTGGAGAAAGCGTTGTATGGTCTCAAACAGGCTCCTCGCAGCTGGTATGCAAAGTTACGAACCTTCTTAATTCGAATTGGTTTCAATGGTACTCAGGCTGATGCCTCATTGTTTATTCGTCGACTTGGTGACAAGATGGTATATGTTCTTATATACGTTGATGACATTATCATCACGGGTCATGATGATGAGGATGTTGCACAAGTGGTGATGCTATTAGGTAATGAATTCTCTCTAAAAGATTTAGGGGAATTGAATTTCTTTTTGGGATTGGAAGTTACACGAAATGATCAGAAGTTAGTTCTACTACAAAATAAGTTCATTCTTGAGTTGCTTGACAAAGCTGGAATGCGTGGTGCTCATTCGGTGCCAACACCAATGGTTTTATCACCAAAATTAAGTAAGAATGGTGGAAGTCTATTACCAGATGCTCAAATGTATAGAAGTGTCGTGGGGGCTCTATTATATCTCAATCATACACGTCCGGACATTGTTTTTAGTGTAAATCGCGTGGCTCAATATATGCATGCCCCGTGTGAACAACATTGGATAGCCGTGAAGCGTATCCTTCGTTATCTCAGTGGCACTTTGGATTATGGATTAATATTCCATAAAAAATAACACTGGAATTCAACTTGAAGCATTTGCCGATGCTGACTGGGCAGGCAACATTGATGATCGTCGTTCCATTTCTGGATTTTGTGTGTTCTTTGGCGGAAATCTGGTATCTTGGTCGTCTAAACGACAACACTCAGTCTCAAGGTCCAGCACTGAAGCAGAGTATCGTGGGATTGCAGAAGCTGTTACTGATGTTGTGTGGCTTACAGCTTTGCTCAAAGATATGGGTATAGTGTGCTCTAGTCAGCCTGTCATTTGGAGCGACAATACTAGTGCTATTGCCATGAGCGCAAACCCAGTGTTTCATTCACGTTCGAAACATGTTGAGTTGGATTTACATTTCATTCGGGAAAAGGTTGCTGCTGGTGATGTTGCAGTTAATTATGTTCCTGCCTCACATCAATGTGCAGATGGTTTAACCAAACCCTTGTCAAGAGCTTATTTTTCTATGTTTCGCGAAAGGATGCATGTCTATGGAGGTGATGTTGAAGCCGTAGAAAGTAGGGAGAATGTTAACCAATAAAACAAATATTAGCCAAGTTGTTAAAATGGTTATAACTGCATAGGTGAGCTGGCATAACAAATAGATTCTTCTAGTATGGAGGTTGTAAAAATGATAAATACATGCTTGTGAAATGAAAAATACAGAATATTTGTATTGATTAACAGAAAAGTTTTACAGTAAATCTAACATTGAGAGACTAATTTATAAATCTTAAAATTTTATAGGATGAGTTATAATTTAACCAAAAAAAAAATTTAAAGTCAATTTTCAATTTATAGAATCAATTTTTCTTTGTTAGACCAGTGAGCGTCGCCTTCGTTCGTGCTTTTCTTTTAGCCGTAGTCTTCTTTTGTAAGTTTTTTTCGTCTATTTTTATGTATGTTTTGCTGAACATGTTTGTTTTTATGTTTTATTACTTATGTAAGTTATAAGGTTGTTATCATGTGGGTATGAACGGGTATGAGATAGGTGATGGATATTTAGTTGAGTAATGTGTGTGAGGATATATTTGATAATGTATTCTTGTGGACGAATGTAGATTTAAAAAATTGATAAACTACTCGGTGTGAAAGTGTTTCCTCTATGAGAGTGTGAAGAGAAGTGGCATAATCGCAAATATATATGAATATCAGTGTCTTTCTCTTACTAACAATCCGTTATAATCCCAAATCTTGCCCTTCTTTCCCCTCGCTGCTTCGGCGAAATTTGAAAACTAGAAGACCTCAAAAATGGGAAGCTCTAGATTCTTCTCCCGCTTCCTCGCCATTTGCACAATCCTGGCCTTACACGTGGCGGTTTCTTCCTCGTCTCCCACCCTCTATCTCCTAGGCAACTATTTTCTTCCGGTTAAACCGGAGTGCCGCGGATCCATCTCCGAGTGCCTAATGCTAACCGGGGAGGAATCTTCGGGATTTGACGCCGAATTCGCCGTGGACTCCGAGATCAACAGGCGCATTTTAGCGGCGACTCGTTACATCAGCTATGGTGCGCTGAGGAGGAACACGATGCTCTGCTAACGACGTGGCGCGTCATATTACAACTGCCGACTGGGAGCTCAGGCTAATCCTTACTCACGCGGCTGTAGTAGAATTACACACTGTCGGCGTTAGATTTATTGTTATCCTTTTAATTAAAAGATTTATTGGGTTTAAGTGTATCTTATATTTGATTAATAATTATGTGTATTTTTTTTTCAAATATTTCCTAAAATTTTGTTAACTGCGTTCTCATATATATAAAAGTTGTAATATGTTGTTTTATATAAAAATAAATCAAATATATTTATAAAATCTTATGAAATATGAAAATTGTAATAAAAATATATTCAAAATTAAATGTCAGTTTCTTACTAAATTAAATGATAATTTTATTTCTCGTCTTAAGCCGATTGTTTCGAGTCTTTTAATTATTTGTATTGCACCAGTAATTTATATTATTTAATATTTTTTTTGGCTATACTCCAGCTTTAAAATTTGTTGTGATTAATCTGGATTGATTTAGTCGCACATTTTGTTATGGTGAGTGAATCTCTCAGTGGAGATTTTATGCATACCGAAAGATTCGAACCTAAAATTTTACTTAAATGATATCAAACTGTTTACTACTTGAATCAATCTTGTTAGTATTTATTTTTTCATATTGATTTTTGTGGCACTGAATTTCTTTTTCTAAAGAGATTTCAGACAACAAATGGCCAGAAAGGATTGCTCCTTGACAAGGTCCAATTCACCGGAGAGTGGGCTACTCTGTCGGCACCGCAGTTGACATACAAGACCTTGAAGCTCGGGTCGTTGGCCAAGACCGTGTGAGCCTCATTGACTAACAAGCCGATGACAAAAATGTCCTCTCTTCTGATGGCAAGGCGATTAACAATGGAAATGACATCTCCTTCGATGATTACTTGCTGCCATCCATTTTCGATGGCTAATCTAAATCTGTGGATAAAAGCCACCGCTTCAGTTGATTCTGGAGTATTTGGGGGATCGAGTTTACGAGCTACTCCACAAACATCCGTACCATGTAGGTCTCAAGCAACGACTCCCATGACTGCCTCATTAGAGCTTGCTAGGAACGCTCCATCCAGTTGATTTTGATGAAATCAGTGTGGACGAGTCTAACCTAGAACCTGTGTTCTTTGGGAAGTGCTCACCAAATCTCTCATTTTGGAATTTATTTCTCCAAATTCAGCAGTAATAATCCAAGCAGCGTTAACAACTTGTTTGTCCTTTTCCCAGTCCTCATCATGCTCCCATCTGTTCCGACGATTCCGGATATTCCACACAAGAATCAGCAATCTTATGAAGCTCTCTCGGTCCAGAGCAGAAGCAACCATCTCAAACCAGTCAAGACATGAAGAACCTTGCCAATCAATGACTGATCCTTGAAGACCAGACAACAATAGAACGGAACGTGACTTGGGGGGCAATTTTTAAGTGCGTGCAAGGAGGTTTCCGATTCCGAATTATAGAGGGGACAAACACCATTAGACAAAGTTGCTTCAAGGAGCTTCTCGCCAGTGGGTAGAGCATCGTGGCAACATCTCCAGCCAAAAATTCTAATTTTGGAAACAGCTTCCGAACGGTGTCTTTTTTCATCAGGATCTAGTTGCACCCCGACTTAGTTGAATAACACTATGTATTATGATGTTCCCAATGAGCATGTCTTCTGGTGTTGGGGAAATCATGGTGTTGAGAACTTTGTCAGCACCCTCTTGAGGAAGGACAACCCTAACTTTTGACTCCTCCCATCGGGGCTGATCAATCTTCATGAACTTGATGCAACTAATGGGGTTCTCCACATTCTCTGAATATCCAGTGGAGAGTTGAACCGGCACCTCCCCAACGATCGAGAAAAATTCGGGCTTTTCCTTTGAAGCCAACCCTCCAAAGCAGACCTTCTTTCAACACTTCTTTCGCCTTATAAAGGCTTGTCCATGCGTAAGAGGCTCATTCTCCCAGCTTCGCTTCCAAAAAACACGAGATAGGAAAGTACTTTGCTTTGAAGACATGAAATGACAGTGAGTTTGGGTCTTGGACAAACTTCCATACTTGATTTTCCAGAAAAGTAAAATTAAAGGATTTGAGATCCCTAAAACCCATTCCGCCACCCCTTTTTGCTCTACAGATTATATCCCATGAAACAAAAGCCCAATCTTTTTTGTCATGTTTACCGGACCATCAGTACGCCCGGATATGCTGAGTAATCACATCCACCACTCTATCTGACAACAAATAACATGACATCGCATAAGTTGGGAGGGCTTGAGCGACTGACTTGAGGAACACTTCTCGGCCTCGGAACGAGAGGAGATTTTTTGTCCATCTTTGGATTCTCTTGATCGTTTTGTCCTTGACAAACCCAAAAGCATTCATCTTGTTTCTCCCCGGTAATCCGAGGTAATTTTCGGGGTCTTTCTCGGTTACTCCAAATTCATCAAAATAATCCATCGATGTTCTTGTAATGTATTCGAACTGAATTAGCGGTGAACACATATTGACCTAACATTTATACGCTCCTAATGTACGTCATGCGTCCAAAATGATCGCATGCTTCTTCTTGCACATATATAATTAGCTGAAAATGTATTATTCCATCACTAAAAAACGAAGTGGAGGAAACAAGAGTCGACATTCCTACTCAGAAATCATGTAAAAAAAACATCATTTACATGACAATTTCAATGCTCATAGCATTATTCTATCGTGAAGAAGAAGAAGAAACAACTTTGATCATGGACTGAGCTTGAATGGTTGACAAATTCTTCTCGCAAAAGCTTTGCCAAGCCTCCCCAGGATTCGATTTTTCGTTCTCCGTAAATGCTTTGTATACAGAAAACACAATGCTTCTCGCTGCTTCTCTGGCCTCTGGTAATCTGTCATTCAACAGGTCGGAAGCCATTTGCAGCAACAAAACCAACCCGAACTCTCCGATTTCTTCGGATCCCTGCAATATCCGATGCGTTAGATGATGTTCAAACATTTTACAAATGCAAAACATTAGCTTTACCATCTTTGAAACGGAATTGGAAATGGAAACTGCAGCTTTGGCTCGGACTCTGAGGTTGCCATGGTTAACAAATCCGTGAAGCCGGTGAAGAAGAGGTAAAGGAGCAATGGAGTTAACCAGCACCGTCAGCGATTTATCGGCTTCTTCGCACACGAACTTCTTGTCTTGAGAAGCTTTCAATAACAACTGCAGTAACTGTAAATCCACACCGCAAGATTAAAATCATTTCCAACACATGAATACGAAAATTCGAAAAGCTGAAAAGAGAGATGATAATCAGGGTCAATTTGGGTTACCCACCAACTGATCAAATGCACTAGAATCAGTAGAATCGAGCAGCTTTTCACCAAAGGCATCGAAGATATCCAAAGCAGCCATAATCGAAGTCTTGCAAAGAGCACTTCTCGGGTTCTTCATTGCCTTTACAATCACCAACATCACCTTCTCTCTGGCATTTTCACAAACACTTTATCGGTTTAATATACATGGGTTTGGCATACACTAAAAGAAAGGGAAACTTACAGGATTGGAAGCAGTAAACCGGAGTGATATATAGCGAAACGCCTAACAAAATTCAATAACTCGCAAACCGTTACCCAATCCTTTGAATCTAACCCTTCAACCAACCTCTAAAATTTTCAAAATAAACAAACAAAACGATCAGAATCATGAAACCTTGAAAAGGGCTTACTTTTTCAAGTATAATTGGATTACCTGGATGTTTGATTCTGGGTCTTCAAAGGGTTTGAGATTCTCGGAAGCACTGTAATCGACAGAAGCATCAACCGGTTGCGACAAAGGAGCTTTGTTCTCGTCATTTAGGCCAACCTCGGGAGCTCTTTTCTGGGTTTGAATCGACACTTTGGCATGTTTCTTGAGTCTGGGATTGTCCGGTGAGATGGGCAGTGCGTTATCTATGGGTCGCAAAGCCATTACTTTTGAGAAGAAAACGAGAGTAAATCTATGATCTAGAAATAAATTGATTCAAAGCTATGAGAAAGGATTTTGAGGCAGAATTTGAATTTTAAAAGGGTTTGAGAAATTGAATTTGCTTTCTGATTCGGGGAAAAGGGCGGAAAGGGTTAAAGAGCGTTTCGAAAATTCAAATTTTGAAGAAAGTACGTAAAGGAGACGTTAGACTCCATGTACTAACGGTCGATTAAAGCGTTTGTCTCTTACATCAGCATGGATTTTCAATCAATATAGTATTGAATTAGTATTTTTTTCATTTTAAACATTAATGTATTTATGTTTATATTATTAAATAGGGTAAAGTACACAAATGATTCCTCAACTATAGAATGCTACTTTGTTGAGTCTCTCCACTATTCAAAGATACAAAATGGTCATCTAACTGTAGAACATTGCTTTGTTGAGTCCTCCTAATATTAAAAGTTACAAAACATTCACTTGACTATTCACTGTGCTCCAAACTCATCATTTCCCATTAAAAATATGATGACAGTTTGAGCTGGACGTTAACATGTTTAAATGAGATATGATACAATCTGATCTTAGAATCTCAAACAATTATTATATTTTAGTTAGTATGTTAATGTTTAGATCAAACTTTCATCAATTTTTTAACAAAAAAATACGAGTTTGAAACACAATGAATAGTTAGATGACCATTTTATAACTTTTAATAGTCGATGGGCTCAATAAAACAACGTCCTATAATCAATAGATCGTTTTGTAACTTTTAATAGTCAAGATACTCAATAAAATAACACCATATTGCTCGGTTAATTCAGATTGTGTTTTGCAAATGTTCATTTTTGAAACAACCCTCCTAATTCAATTAAATCCATTTGCAAATACCAAGGATCGAACCCCTAATATTATTTAAAAAATCTAGTGTCTCATCCTATTAGACCAACTAGTTGTTGGTAACTTTGGTTTTGACTTCAATTCTACTAATAGGTTGTTAAAATTCAATCCACGATTATTTTGATGGTGTTGTTGATGCCTAGAATAATATCGTTTAAGGTACTAAATTTTAGGATGCATCACTTGTGCTATTAAACTTTTAAACTGTTCACTTTTAGGCACTACACTTTTTTTATCGTCAGTGGTTGTGAATCGTCGATCATTATCGTCATCATTCATGACAAGATCAATATCAAAACATTCACATTTCACTCATCTTTCTTGTAGGATTGATTTTCAACAAAACTTACTCAAACTTAATGAAATTATTTTAGATAACAAAATAAACATTTGAGACGAGGTAAACAGCAATCCAGACTTCAACAAAGAAAAAGAAATAGCCCAATTTATGAGCACCTCTCTTCCATATATTCGATAAAATAGGAAGTTTTGTTTTTGGATAATTAAGCTTTATTACCCAAAATAACAGATCCCTGCTACAAAACAATACATCAGGATGTCAAAAGAATGGGGAACCTATTTACAAACAAAATTAAGCAATACCCCAATTACGACATAGATATAAATTGATGCTATCGTTTATATTGATGAACCTATCACTTAAAACAATCCCTACAATCATCTTAACGTTATTGACGATTTCCTCATTACTTCGGCTTTTCCCTGTAAAAACCTTCGATTTCGTTCCTCCCAAATGGTGTAATTAAAACCGCACCAAGAGAGTCTCAAAATAGTCGAAATCAAGGACTTACCCTTCCAAGAAGATGCTGCCCATTCCAGCAGATCAGACCATGAGGAGAAAGCAGAATTTAACCCGGACAGTTGGAGCAGAGAACTCCAAATGGAAGCTGAAAACCTGCACGTAGCAAATAGGTGGTCTCTAGTTTCAATTTCATCATGGTAGAATATACAATCAGCATTAGAAATAATTTTGAATCGTTGCAATCTGTCCTTGGTTGGGAGACGATCCAAAATGATCATCCAAGAAATAATACTATGTTTCAGGACATGGAGAGAAAACCAGATCAGCTTATGCCAAGAGACTTTGCTATTTTTAGGCCGAATATCTTCCCAGATTTGCACGGTGTTAGTTGCAGAAGAAATCATTAACGTTCTGGTTATGGTTCTTAATTTAAAAATACGCTTAAAAATTCAGCTTGCATTATGCGGTTCAGACATGGTCCAGAAATCCTGGTTCTTGATGATATTATTGTGAGTCCATGCTACCCAAAGAGAACCTTCACCAGCAAAAAGTTTTCTGGTGAGTTGAATCAAGCTCGCACAATTCCAGGTTTTAATATCCTTAAGTCCTAAACCGCCTTCAGACTTTGGGTTATAGATTTTCCTCCAGCTCACCTTTGCTCCTACAGCTTTTGAATCTGAGCCCTTCCAAAAGAATCTGAGAACAATTGTTCAATTTTCTTGATAATAGAAGGAGACAAAACAAGTTGTCGACACCAATAGTTTGCAACGCTATAAAGAACAGTCTTGATGAGCTCCACCCTTCCTGCATAACTTATATTTTTGCTAGACCATTGGTGAATTCTGTTTTTGATATTATCTATAAGAGCTTGACAATCCTTTTCAGTAAGTTTCTTGGTGACCAAAGAAACACCCAAGTAACGTACAAGAAGTCTTCCTTGTTTAAAGCCAGTAAAACTTATGATAGATTCAATGATGTGATGAGACATACCAGCCGTGAAGAGTTCATATTTTCCAGCATTAAGCTTCAATACAGAAAATTCATAGAAGCAGTCCAAGACTGTAATGACACCCAAAACAAATTCAAGCTTACCTTTGCAGAAAATTAGTAAGTCATCAGCAAAAGACAAGTGAGTGAGTCCAATATTCTTGCATTTTGGATGAAAAGAAAACATCCCTTTAGAAGCAGCAGTGTTGAGAAGATTGGACAGGACATTCATAATCAGAACAAATAAAATGGGGGAAATAGGACCGCCTTGTCTTATTCCCTTAGCACCATTGAAATAACCGATCAAAGTTCCATTGAATGCAATAGAGTACCTAGCATTCGAATAGCAAGCAATAATCCAGTCAATCACTTTAGATGGAAATTCCATAGAATTTAGAACGGCTGAAATGAAATCCCAATTTATGGAGTCAAAGGCTTTTTGAAGATCAATTTTTAAAGCACATCGTGGAGATAAAGATTTCCTCCCATACCCTTTGACAATCTCTTGTGCAAGAAGAGTATTATAAACTATACTTCTTCCCTTGACAAATGCAGATTGATTTGGAGCTATAATCCCTGGAAGTAGAGGAGTTATCTTATTAATAAGGATCTTAGTAATTGTTTTGTAAATCACTGAACAGCAAGGTATAGGATGGAAATAAGAAACTTTGCTTGGATTTGGCATTTAGGAATTAATGCAATAGTGGATGAGTTAAAGGCTGGATAAATAAAAGATTCCTGGAAGAAATATTTGACAGCTTTAAGAACATCATTTCCAACCACCGACCAAGCTTTTTTGAAGAACAAGGCGGAATAACCATCGGGGCCTAGAGCCTTATCATTGCCTTGACTGAATATAGCTTTTTTAATCTCCTCGTTGGTAACTTCTTTAGCAAGCATTTCCTTATCTTCCAAGGAAGAAATTGGGTGCACCAAATCTTTAAGAATAGAAGGTGGACAAACTCGAGTATTAGGATCTTGAGTACCTAATAATTTTGTGAAATAATCAATAAGTTCCACTGACATATCTTCAAAAGAATCAAGTCTATCCCCCTGATGATTGACTAAGACTCTTATTGTCTGTCTTTTGTTCTTGGAAGCAATGACGGAATGAAAAAATTTTGTACAACGGTCACCTTCTTTAATCCAATGAACCTTAGCTTTTTGTTTCAAAAACATCGATTCAACTTCTTCTAACAAGATAAAATCTCTCTGCAGTTCAAGTTCTTTCTCCAAAGGTTTATCACCGTTTAAGGTATGGAGTTGTTGCAATTCAAATTCATCTCTCTTTTGAATGACTCTAGCAATAATGTCGCTAAAACAGTCATTGTTAAGAAGTTTAAGACTAGTTTTGAGGCGTTTAAGCTTTGTGAATAAGATCTTCATTGGGTTGCCTTCAATCTCCAAATTCCAGGATTGACTCACAGTATCAAGAAAGTTTGGGTGGAGTGTCCAACAATTAAAAAATTTAAAAGGTTTTGGTCTATTCACATGGATCTCTTTACTTAAATTCACCAAAGCCATGCAGTGATCAGAAGTACCCGGAGCCATGAACTCCACATAAGAAAGGGGAAAATATTCAAACCATAAAGGATTGATTCAAACTCTGTCTAATTTCCGAGCCAAGAAATTATCTCTTTGCTTGTTGCTCCATGAAAATGTAGGACCAAAATAAGGATGATCTTGCAACTGGAGTTCTTGAGTTGTTTCTTGAAAATCTAACGTTTCAGAAGAGGTGATCATACCCGTAAGTTCATTGTCAGAACTCTCATAATTATGCAGAATCACATTGAAATCACCTCCCAAGATCCAGGGGAGGTTACTAAAATTAGATTCAATATGACTAAGATCATACCAAAGATGTCTTCTAAAAATTCCATTGTTTCCACCATAGATAGCAGTAATAATGTAAGGAACATCCTGAAATATTCCTTTAACAATGATGGTTTGAGCCGAAACATTAGTATAAAGAGATATCAATATCTTTTCGCCACAGTAACCATAATCTTCCATTCACAGCAAAATCGTAGTTGGTAATGCAATTCCAATTTTCAAAAGTAGTAGCAAGAATGTTTGCAGATTTATCCAGTTTCACGCGAGTTTTCATCAAACAGAGAATTGTAATATTATTTTTGACAGCCCTTTTAAGGACACTGCCTTGCTTAAGAGGGTTATTTAACCCTCTTACATTCCAGAATGCTAAATTCATGTCCCCTGTGACGAGGAGCACATGTCTTCTCCCTTACTACATACTGTAGATGATTTGCGTTTATCCAAGTGAGACTTTTTCTTTAATTTGAGATCTTTAATCAGTTCAGCAACCCCAGATGCAGAAGCTCGAGTTTTTTTAACTTGATTTTCAAAAGAAGGCTGAACCTCATCAATCGAACTGAGTAACTCAAATCTATTGGAAGATCCTGTAAAACCTTTTTTTGCTAAAGGTGGCCTACCCCTACCCCTCTTAGCTTGTTTCGGGGAATTAGAAGAAGAAACGGTTTCCTTGTGAAACTTAGAAGGCTTAATATTTACTTCTTCTCTTAATTCAGGAGCAGTTCCTGGGTCTATTGCAGCGAGAGAAGAATCTGTGGGAAGATTAAGATTACTAGAAACAACCATATCAGTAACTTGATTGTGCGAATCAGAGCCTAGTACAAGTCCTCCTTCATTATCCTTACTAGGAATAACAACAAGCTGAACAAGTTCAGAGGAAGTTAAATTTTGAATATCAACCGTATTAACTTCAGGATCAAGGGATGCAGAAATAACATATTCTTTTCTCCTCCAAACAAGTGAGGCAGCTTGAGAAGAACTAGGAATTTGATTACAACCTTTTGTACTGTGACCAAACACATTACAGTTCTTACAACAAGGAGGAATCCACGGTACTTCAACAACAATTTTAGTTGTTTGACCATTATTCAGAATGACATCAATATACCTAGGAATGGTATCATTTGCCCCAATCTCTATACATACTTTAGCGAATTTGAGCCTAGATTTGGATGCTGTGACAGAATCCATAGAAAGAGGAAAGCCAATTGCACTAGCTATATAGCTCAGACCCTCGTTCGAGAACAATTCAAGGGGAACATTATATAAATGTACCCACAAAGGGATTTTAGAGAGGTCAAAATCTAGCTTAGACATGTTTGGCTCCCAAATCCTAAGAATCAAGGGTTTGTTGAAGATATGCCAAGGTCCATTTTCCATAACCCAATTCCTAGCTTGCTCGGAATTAAAAGTGAAAAGGTAAAGGTTGTTACCTGCGTAACTTGTCTGCACCGAAGCACCCTGTAAGGGTTTTTTTCCACAGATTTTGAACAATCTGTTGCAACGCTGAAAATTTTGGTGATGGTCCGAGGAAGTGCCCAACAAGTGAGAGTCTCCATTCAGCAATTCCATCTTCAAAAACTTCTGAGGGTGGGTGAACAGTCGGGGTTCCATCGCACAAATTTGGAGGAAAATACCGAAGTTGATTTCCAGCAGAGCATGAGAAGAGTTTTCGCCAGTCCATCAGGAACCCAAGACAACCTATGAAAACTGATAAGGAAAAGGAAACGATGATGAAGAACGAAGAACATTGAAGGAACAATCGAATCTCTGAGAACGCAGTTGCAGATCTTCAGTTTCCATTAGACCTGCTAATGTACGCCGAGAGAGAATTGCAAACGTGCGCCATTTCCATTGACTGTAAGGTTACTCAAAATGGGAAGTTTTGATCATTGGTAAAAGTATACAATTATACACATATTTATTTCTTAAAACCATATAGAATATTACATGGCATGAACAATGAATGTGCTTTTGAGGTTATAAATCCAAATAAGGAATGAAAAGGTTTAAAAGAATTACACTATCTGATTCGTCGGAGATGTAGTACCTGAATCTGCCTCATTGCCGCTAAATACGCCGGAAACATGCGAACAAGCAACATCGACGCCGGCATGAACGACCAGAGATTTTTTTAATTGCCGAGTTCCGTCTTGGAGACCCCTAAAACAGCTCCCATGCATCAGACTGCCAGAACCGAGTAGATTCGTGTAAGAGAATTTATCTGTTTGTACAAATATTTAATGTAAATGGTGACTGGGGGACTAGGGATGGATCGAAGAGGGACGGGTGGGAATAGTTCTGAAAATTTAAAATTATCATATATTTTAAATTTTTTATATATTTAATATTGAAAATCTGTTTTCGCCCTCGAAATTTTATAAGTCCATCATTTCTTAAAATTTTAGAATTGTATCATCTTACATAAAATCATGCGTTCGTCCCTCAGACACTTGAAGGCTTACTAGAGTGGCGGATGCGGCAATGAAAGCGGCAGTGCGTTAACGAGGAACTCTCTTCGGATTCAGTATCTCCTCCTCTTTCAGTCGATGCTGGAACCTGGCGAGGCGAGCTTGAAGGCTCACCAGACTGGCGGCCTTGCGTGAAAGCACGAAACTCAGCTTGGTAACATAGCTGTCAATCTGGCTGCCTGGTTGGTCCGCCTCAGCCAAAAGCTTCATTTCCTGAATTAAAGACGCAAAACACAACGAACATATTAATTGTGAAAAAAAAGAATGATATCGCGAACTTATCGACGCGTGTTTTGGTAGTTCATGAGGATCATGACAACGAAGAATGTTGATAGTTTGTTAACTAATTGTTTACATTAAGTTAGAATATATTTTATCTTAAAATGAAACGTTAGACGTTAAAGTGTTTTGAAAAAAAGATAAAATTAAAATAATTATTTAATTAAACGTTAAGATGTATTTTTGACATTATTTCATTAAGTTTCACCACTAAGCGCAAGGTTACTTTCATCGCGAACAATCTCCATTGTATCCTCGATTTCTTTTCTGTGGGCAACGATTAAAGCCTCTTTCTCCTGCCACAAACCAAAAGCATAAGCGAAATGAAGAAAATCCAGAGAGATGTTACCAAAATAAAAAATAATGAACCGTTTTGATCTCCCACATCGAGTATTGCTTTGATATTCCCATCCGTAGGAGGCTCGGGATAACATTGTCTATGTCCAACATTACTCGAGCTGATATAATTAACATCATTCGCCTGCCTTGATTTTGTAGCAGACATATCAGATTCTCCTCCATCAGTCTTGGCCCAGTTCTCCTCCATCTTCTCAGAATTTTCTTCTCGAGTCACTTTTCGACACGGTGGTGACACCTTGTGCACTTTCTCTTCTATATCAATTGAATTTTGAGAACTTAATGAGCAAGTTCTTTGACATGCTGAACCACCATAGGAATTATTACTCCCTTCAACTCTCTCCCTATCTGTTGGTCCAGAACCCGTTCCATTTTTCTCCCTCCCACCTAAAAATCGACTTGACGAAAAAGATGAGGGTTGTTTGCTGAAGTCGAAGGTACAAGCATCTTTCTCTGTAATCCTTCGACCTGTATCGACGACTTTTACTTCCTGCGTCTGCTCGTAAACATCATCTACATCCGAGGTAGCTGAGAAAGATGATGATTCCTTATTACTTGGTGGTGAAGAAATTACGGCCGGATCTCTTTTGAGATTACCACTTTTTGAAAGACTTTTAACCCTGTTCAGTTGGGTAACAATAACGTTTACTTAGACAACAGGTAAATACAATCTACTATAACGAAGGAAGTTTGTTATAGAAACAAGGATACCTATCAGCATATCTCAGAGTATTGAGAGTGTGTTCACATGAACCGGCATTCGGAGAAATACAGGAGATCATAACTGTCCTCGAATGGCCGACAAAAGAGTCACGGAGCACTTCAGTAAGTTTGCTCCCTCGGAATGGTATATGGAGCTTCTCATTGTCCAGAGCACGAATGCACTCCTTAAGAGCCAAAAGGCTCTTATTAATTTCAGCACCCTCAATCCTGGCAAAAATTCAACGAGCCAAAAATAAACCAGGTGGATAGGGAAAAGAATACAGGAGAATTCGAACTTACCTAGTTTGCCTGTCACTGTCAGTGGTGTCTGCACCTCTTTCACTGCCAGCAAGATCAATAAAAGAAATCTTTCCGACAACCTTCCCGGCTTTAGACTCCTTCCTGTCATTGTTCCGCTTGGACACCTTCGCCTTAGAGTGCTTCTTGATGACAAGTTGTAAAATAGCATGTGACCTTGAAGATTCCTCATTTGCACCAGTAGATCCTGTGCTTCTAGCAGCATTTCCCCTCTCGATGTATTCCTTCACGATTTGCACGTCCGAGACCTCAAATTCTTGCAGTCCAACAATGCAGACGCATTGTTTCCCATCTTCCCTCATAATAAGTCTCCTACAGGAGGAAGTTTAGATTATTGAGTGATTTAGTTGTTTTTATTACATCTTGAAAGAGAGAAAAGGTGTGCTTGATATCGGACAAATTGTGCTCGATACGGTCAGAGCAGCAGACATTTCGAAGCCATTATATATCATAAATCAATCAGGTATGTCTTCAAGAAAAAATAAAATGGAAGACACAAGCAAGGAAGGAAGGAAAAAGGGAAATACTTTCTTTCACTCAGAAGGTCATAGAGTTTTCCGCCATATATCTCATAAAAGCCAAGCCACAGTTTAAATTTCTGATTGCTATAAACTGGTTGGTGCAAGTATCTAACAAGATCTTGGGCAGCTCTGAGTGGTAATGGTTTCAGTGTGAACGTCTTACCGCTACCTGTAAATAATATATATATATATATATATATATATATTCCATGACATGGAGCAGAAATTAGTAGCAATGCCGATTACCACGAACTAGAGATATGCAAAAAGAGCAAGGAACAACAAAAATGGAAGAAAAAAAAATACTATCATGGTTTAGGTTTAATCTTACCAATGCAATCAGACGTTTGCAGTCTCTAAACTCCCAAACCAATCGTAAGCATTAACTTTCTAGTAATAATTCTAAACCTCCCAATTAAAGCCCATCGTGTTTAAAATACTAAAAGAACACCATTTACATCATTTAACAAAATAATTTTAAAATCCATTGAGTGGCCTCAATGGTAAAAAGGGAATGTTCTCCCTAGAGGATCTGGATTTGATCAATTGTGTATTGTCAATAGGTTAAGAAAAATTATGAACAGATACTATCTTGTAATCATCCAATAGAAAAAAGATGTTTGTACATTTTAAATCCAAATTTACTTTCCAAGAAGGTTTGAGAACTAATTTCATGTAAAAAATATAATGTCGACAAAACAAAAAGGAATAGATGCCTACATGCTATCCAAGATGCATGTAGCCTTGATCAGTTTTCCTTCTACGCGAATATAGCATGAAGCATAGATAAACAGAACATAATATATATAGCACATGTGCCTGCCATTCTGGAAGAAAGTTCAGAAACTATGCACCTGTTTGCCCATAAGAAAAACAAGTGGCTTTTGTTCGCTGAAAGATTATGGGAATTATTGGCTCAACAGTTTCACGATAAACCTGTTGAAGCAAACAATAGAATAAATAGATCTTTTGCTCTAACAAATCAACATACAACTTTGGTCATAACATAACATTATTCAGGAACCATGCTCGGATAACATTAAAGAAATATATTTCAACCAAGTATTACCTCATCGTTGGTTGCATGCTCATCCAGAACAGCGTCAAAACAGAAATCATGCTTCTCAACGTATGCTGTCAAGTCCACCTCTCATACAACAAGTAAATCAAATATAAGAAAGAGTGAAATAACATATCAAACCGGTAAAAACAGTTCTAAAAATATTCATCTCAAGAACACATAATGTTGTCACATAACTACTGTTAATAAGGGATAAACCTTCAGCTTTGGTTCATGGACCGTCAAAACATTCTCTCTCACGGTAACTATGTCATCCTCCTTCCGAGAAATCTCCTCCTTGTTTAATGGTCTTTTACGTACCTTTTTACCACAATATAGAGAAAAAAATAGCTTATATGAGAATTAACACGCATCTACTCCGTCCAGCACATGTGTAATGAACACAAAAAGGCAAGATGGCAATGAAAGGAACAAAAAGATAACATAAACTGTAATTTTAGATGTCCCCATCTCTACAGAAGGGTGAGAAAGAAAGGAGAGAGAAACGAAGCACCATGGATAGAAACCAACATACCACAACTTTAATCTTAGCAACATTATTTTCCCTCAAGCTGATATCCTTTTCATTGGCAGAGCATAAGGCATCTGCATCACCTTGCTCTTTTTGCTGCTGACTGGTACTAGATTCATTTCCAAACTCTTTGTTCACATCAGGCATGAATGGTGATGATTTAAAAGGTTCCGAGTTAACATGCTGCAACAAAAAAATCAAAATTTCTTTCCAGGAAGCGGAAAAAAGATAGTATGCAAGCTTAAATTGAAGTATTTTTTTTATAATTTAAAAAATATCAGAAGGGAACAGCAGCCAGAAATATCTAATCACATCATCACAAAAACGAAAGATGAATGGTAGAGTCACATGCATGAAGATCCAGAAGCCCAAATCCAAAATTCCCTCTGGACTCTGGAGAATAGAAGCTATCAGATGTAGCTTGCCCTCCAACACTTTGAGGAATGCATGGCTCTGATCTAAATTCCCTATTAAAACTAAGGTTCCTCATTAACGTGACAAGCCTCTTCTTCTCTTCTTCAGATTGTGCTCCATAACCCTTCAATAATGAAATTTTTTTTCCTGAATGTAAAACCATTTAAAACTTATTTAAAATTCAAATAGCGTTTGTTAAAAAAAATCAAATAGTGTTCAAAATGAAATGAAAAGCAACAAACTCTTGAGAAAATAAGATAATATGCCTCAGAATGATAAACTAATTATGGACTTCAATTTTCTTTAATTGCTTGTCGCCCTAACTATTCATGCAAAAAGTGGAATGAATTTTTCAGAAGTTCACGCAGAAGAGAAAATAACGTTTTCATTCCATGAATTGGTCATGAATATAAATAGCAAAAAAAAAAGGCATATGATTTGGTGCAGAACAGAACAATGTCGAAAGTCGAAACTTCAAAAACACTTCCCTTAATTAAACTGTAATAATCACGGTTGCTTTCATCAAATAAAGTTCCACCAAGTAAGAAATTTCGAAGTAAATTTAAAGCATTTAAAAACATACTCGTGGAGATTAAATTCAGAGTGTTGCTTGGTTACCTGCATGAGGAGATTGGAAAGGAGGCTTTCGTCGATGTCCGTGGAAGCCGAGGGAGACGCAAGCTGCCGCAAACCAGCAGACCGCGACCACAGCGCCATAACTGCATCATCGGCATCACCACTGCCAGAAGCGGAATCACCGTTGCACAATGGCTCGCCGCCGGAGTGATCGTAAAGCGCCGTCGCGGCTGCATTGCTGCGATGCATTTGGCCACCCTCGCAACGCTGCGATCGCCTCAGAGGAACCGGCTCTTAAGGCCTGTTTATCAACGCTAACAAAACAAACTCGTAAACAACAATAACAACAATAAAATAGAATAAAATCGTAACTGAATTTCACTTTACAAGACGGAGACAATCCGAATTCGAAGAATATGGAAGTTAAATTCTACCGAAACAAAAAACGAGATTTACAATAATTCGTGCAATTTTCTTAATTCTATCAAATTTAAAAAAAAGTCGCTCAAAATTCACGTATTCAAATTATAAAACAAAACACAAAACATAAACAAACAAACAAATGAATGAATTACCAGAGAAATAGACGTCGGCGATTCAAGATCTGCAATCAGATATTAAAGACAATGTGATTGTACGGCAGCTTTTGGTCATATAAAAGAAATTTCAAAGCTTAAAGGAAGATGCAATATTATATAACGTTGACCATTTAGATTTTTTGTTTTTTAAGCTAAAATTTTTACCTTTTACATTAGTTTTTTTGTTTGAAATAATGAGTTTCGTTTTTGGTGGCAGAAAGAAATGGCTAATAACGTTGGTTTTAATTTTGGATAAATTACACTATTAGATCATTCAATTATTGTTAGAATTATAAACAGGTTATAAAATTTCAAAAACAATATAAAAATATCACTGAGTTAATTGATTGTAAAAAACAAATTATTCTACCGTTAAAAATGAAAAAAAAATAATTTTTTAGCTTTCATTTATAATAACCAAGTAACTCTATTTATCGATCGTAAAATTATAACTAAAAATAGTACATTATATATATAGGATGAGTCTACAACGCACACCACATACCGATATATACAAATATAAATTTATAAATAACTATTAAACTATGATAAAATGATCTTTTTGGTCATTTAACTTTTAAAAAAGTTATAAAACGAGTATTAAATTTTGGATTTCGTAAAAGAAAATAAGTATTGACACTTAACTATCATTAAGGGCTAATGTGACATATTAAATTAATAAAAAATATCTCATTTGCTCCATTAATTGTGACTAAAATTATGTTTTTTTATATTTTTCAATAATTTAAGTAATAATTCCAAAAAATTTAGAAAAATATTTTTAAATATATAGATTTTCAAAATATATTTTTGAAATTATAAATATATTTTTAAAAATATATTTAAAACTATTAAACAAAAGTTAAAGAATTGAATCACGATGTTTATTAAAAGATGATTTCATTTTTATAGATGAAATCTCAAAAATTATAAATTATATCAAATATAATCACAATTAAATAAAAAATACGTATAATATTTTTTTTAATTAATAAATTCATATTTTTAAAATAATTATAATTTTATGAATTAAAAGATTATTTATAAAGTTATAATTTTAAAAAAAATACTTTTATAATTTTTAAAATGAATCTTGAGTTTATATATATATATATATAATTTATTTTTTAGAATTATTACTTCGAAATATTAAGAAATATCAAAATGAAATTTAGCTTACTATTGAGGGTTCAAATGAGATTTTTTATATTAATTTAACATGTTATGTTATCCCTTTCATGATAATTAAAGACATGATATTCATTTTTAATACAATTGAGGAGTTGAATGAGATGTTATGTAACTTTTAAAAGTTCAATGTTCAAAAAGATTATTTTAATATAGTTTAATGACCATTTAAAAATTTTACCATACAAAATCAGTTGTACATTTCGATGTGTGACATGTATGGTAGAATTTTCCATTATATAACCTAATCTTACATTTTAAAAATTATATAAATAGGATATAACCTATTTTATATATAACTGAGTAAATTTTGTGTGTTATTATACGTTATATTTTTAAACTAGGGTAAAATACATTAATGTCACTGAACTATATTTATAGTATCATTTTGATCATTAAACTTTTAAAAGTTATAAAATGATCATTAATTTTTTGAACAGTTATAAAACGATATTTTGATATATCAAATTTTTACTATTTTTTTAACATCAAAATGACCATTTTTACAATTTTTACAAATCATAAACTGTATGAATTGTGTTTAAAGCATGCCTTTGAATGTTGGATTGATGCTATGTTGAGTTGGATGTGAATAGGAGTTATATATTTTTTTGTACACAAAAGTTTAGGTAAGGGGTGGCTCCCCAATTCAAGGTCAAGGCATACCTAAGACCCAATTGGGATTTACATAGGACTTTACAGATTACCCACCAAGAGTGACGGTGGTGGAATTCGAACTTGGCCTTACAAGCTCAAATTCCTGAATCTCAAATTCGAACTTGGACTTTACATAGGAGTTATATGACGAGTCTTCCATAATTTTGAAGTAATTTTCACACTTAAAATTATGAGTTTTTATAGGAAACATCAATACATTTTATTAGAATAATTAAATTATAAAGTATAAGATCTATTTAAAACTTTCTTAACTTATTAATAACATACACATGCTTTGTAGATGCATCTATTCAAATTTTGACCTTTTATAGGTTAACACACACGCTCTATAGACACAACTGTTCAAACCTTAAACTTCTATATGTTAAAACACACACCCTACAAACACGACTGCTTAAGAATTCTAAGAAGAATAATATGATTTATTTACGTGGAAAATGAGTTCAAGACATTAATAAGAAATATGGGTATGGAAATTCATCATTTATAGTAAGTTCCAAGAATAATGTGATTTGTTTAATAGAAATATGGGTATGAAAATGCATCATTTTATAACAAGCTCCAATAATCGTCTCTTCGATAACAATATAGTGCTAAAATGAACATAAACGATGAAGCTTATAATTTAGGATAAACTACACAGTTAATACATAAACTATCAATTTTGATCATTTTAATATCTAACTTTTTATTTTTTTTAAATTATACCTAACATTTAATTTTTATTTCATTCTAGTACATCATTAAAAACTTGTTTAATACTTAAACCAATAATTTTAATTCATTTTATTACATAAATTTTTACTTTTTTTAAAAAAAACTTAACGTTCAATAAACGAGATGCTAAAATGAAACAAAAATTAAAAGTTTAAATACTAAAACAAACCAAAACTAATAGTTTAAATACTCAACATATAATTTATAGGGTAAATTATAATCTTCATATAATAATAATAATAAGGGTAAAGTATAGTAATGGTCACTAAACTTTTCTAAAGCTTTCATTTAGGTCCCCCAACTTTTAAAACTTACAAAACAATCCCCCAATATTTAGTTCGTTTGCAATATGGTCCCCCAACATTTAGTCTGTTTGCAATATGGTCCCCGACCGTTTGACGCCGTTACACTGCCGTTAGTTTGTTTGTAATATGGTCACTGAACTGTTCAGACACTTGCATTTAGGTCCCCCAACATTTAAAACTTGCAACATAGTCTTAAATTTCATTCTAAACCCCAAATTTCTTTTCGATCTCGAATTTCCTTTTTCGCTTCTCTCTTCTCATTTCCAACGTAACTTTTCAGTTGAGGATGCATGGGAAATTCTAATCTAACTTTGAATTATGTGAATGTGTTGACTTGAATAAGGGTCCATTGAGAGAAGACTCGACCAAGGGACTATCGGGACCATCAACGATTCAAGGTGTAATGTTAGATACAGGTCATCTCAGGTGAAGCATAGATGTTCGATGAAATGCTTGTGAGAAAAAAATGGGGTTAGAAATGCAGAGTTGACAAATACTACTAAGATGAAGTATCATTGTTGAAAGTCACCAACAAAGCTGAAATTATTTTGTATAAATGGTATATAATAATTTCTTCGTTTAATCTTTGTACTTAAAGATTTTCCAACAGATGATCAAATATGATGAAATCCCAAACAGCGCATTCATCTCTCAGTCTCTTTCGCAACTCGAAAGGCATCATGACAGGGTCAAGTAGCTGCTCCAAATATATTAAGCTTTCATGACGCCTTTCGAGTTACTTGCATGCAGAGTTGTCTTCTAAAGCTATAATTCAATACAATTCAACTGTAAAATTTTCAAAACATGTAAAAAATTAATTCGTTCACGATATATCATTCTCATAATTAACATGAACTTATTAAAAAGAATACGAGCTCACAGGACGCCGAAAACCACAGGTCGGATCAATATAATTCCCAGTAAACTAGTACCAACAGTCTCTTGGATTGAGCCTGGCGATTTCACTATGTCAATACCCACAACCAATTCCCTGATTTAAAGAAAACCAAACAAGAAGATAAAAAAATTTAGCCTGGGACCCTATTTCACTTCTATTCTGATGGACTGAATATCTTTCATAAAGAGTACTAAAAGTTTTGATTAAGAAGAAAGAAAGAAAAATTGATGGTTTTGGTTTAAAACTAAGACTGAATATCCATATCATTGACATACAATTCTAGAAACATAAAAATTTCAACAAAAACACACAATATGAGCTGAAAATGGGAAAGTGCGAAAGAGGAAAAGCTTACTTCCGGATAGCCCAAAAGAGAAAATAAATATCTTCTTGCAAGTGAGGGGAGAGGCTAAGAAATAAACGCAATCGGTGTTGCGTTCAAGCAATTCTTCCTCCATTTTTTCTTTGTAAATAAAAAGCTGAAAGACAGAGCACTGCTTGGGTTTACAATTTTACATGACAAAAAATTGAAGAACAAAAACCAAACGAGAGGTGAATGCGCTGTTTGAGATTTCATTATATTTGATCATCTGTTGGAAAATCTTTAAGAACAAGGATTAAACGAAGAAATTATTATATGTCATTTATACAAAATAATTTCAGCTTTGTTGGTGACTTTCAACAATGATGTTTAGTTCATCTTAATAGTATTTGTCAACTCTGCATTTCTAACCCAATTTTTTCTCACAAGCATTTCATCAAACATCTATGCTTCACCTGAGATGACCTATATCTAACATTACACCTTGAATCGTTGATGATCCTGATAGTCCCTTGATCGGGTCTTCTCTCAATGGACCCTTATTCAAGTCAACATCTCCACATAATTCAAAGTTATAT